CGACCCTCCGACAGCGCCCGCTCCCTCCGCGCCGACCCTCCGACAGCACACTGCCTAAAACCTGGGCTGTAATGGGAGCTGGGAATTGGACAAACCGATGGCCACACTTACTTCTCTCTCCTGAGCTGCAGCAGTAAACACGAGAGGGCCTCAGGGTGCTCTGAAAGAGAAGGGATGAGTTTATGACAAACTGTTTCACTTACTCCCTGTCACTGACAGTACATCTTCTGCCAAGGTGCCATTGCATCCTGGGTCCAGCAGCCTGGGAGCTGAGGTGGGCGGTAGCAGTACAGAGAGAAAAGAGGAGAGTGAATGGTGGGGGGTGGGGGGGGGGGGGGGGGAGCGGGCGGGGGGGGAGCAAGAGTGTGTGGGGTGTTAAAAATGGTAGGGAAGTGAGTGACAGAGTGGGGGGGGATAATAACGGTAGGGGAGTGAGTGAGGGGAGTTGGGTGGAGAACGGTCGAGGTGTGAGCGAAGGAAGTAGGGTGAACAGTCAGGGAGTGGTGGGGGAGGAACAGCAGGGGAGTGAGCAGGAGGATGAAATACCGCCCAGGGTCCGAGGGAGAGGTACAGCTCGGCTCTGCCTGCTGGTGATGCCTTACCTTTGTACTTGACATGCTGAAGGATGGGGATGACCAGTTCCAGGGGAATGTTGTGAGCCAAGAAGAGCTGCCACGTACAGTACTGCTCAAAGGTCTCCCAATCGAGGCTCTGAACTGTGGAGCAAGCAGTTAACAGATCAGGTCAACACTGGAAACAAAAAACTCTCACAGGCAAAAAAAAAACTATACAAGCAGAAAGCAGCCATTTCTTGCTCATCACCAGCAGCAAACCACACCCCCACCCCCCAACCAACCTGCAAGTGGCTCGGTGATGGTACAGATCGACGGAAAGAGGCGAGATAGAGCTGGGTGCAGAGGGAGAGGCTTCCCACACATTGGCCACGATGTTACTGTGGTAGGGGTCACTGTTGTTGCCCCACACACACCCACACAGCAGATATCCTGCTCCAGCGAGTGAATGGCGATATATTTCCCAGTCAGGACGGTGAGTGGCTGAGGGGGGAGCTTGCAGCGGGTCGTGGTCCCATGTATCTGCAGCCCCTTGACCTTGTGGATGGTAGAGGCTGCAGGTTTGGAAGGAGCCTTGGTGAATTTCTGCAATGCATCCTGCCGATGTGGATCCAATGCAACGGGCTGCTTTGTCTTCGATGGTGTCAAGCTTCGAGTGTTGTCAGAGCTGCACCCATCCAGGTAAACGGGAACATTCCATCACAATCCTGACTTGGGCCTTGTCGATGGTGGTTTTTTTTGGGGGGAGGGGTTCGGTGGGGAGTCAGGAAGTGAGTTTCTCGCTGCAGGATTCCTAGCCTCTGACCTGCTCTTGTAGCCAGGGATTCCATAGATAGTCCAGGATGCTGGCTGTAACATCTCTTGCTGGGAGCTGGTGTTATTAAAATGGGCTCCAAATATTCCCTCAATTTGTTTTTCATTTAAAGAAGAAAAAGTGAGGAGCACAGCTACTTAATTTTACATGTACCACTTGGCCAAACAGTAGGGCCCGAAGGGCTGTGTCCGTACTGGAACTCCCAGCTCGGTTTCCGGAAACTTTGCTGAGGTCACGGTCTAACTGATAGAGAGAGGAGGAAGCAGAAATGCCCTGCAAGTTGCAAGTGAGAAGCCATAATTTAATTGAACATTTCAATTAAATCCACAAAGCACTCGGAGCTGGGGCTGTCACAGGTTCTCTCCTGGTCAGCCAGACCTCTGATTAAATTACAGGCTATAAATTCACTCCCAGACACCCATTAGTCAGACACTTACTGCCCTACAGATCCTGGGAGCCCCACTCACACCCAGAGCTCACATATGACAGCTTCCTCATATCAGCCATCAATCTGGAGGGAGCTATGGGACTTTGACTCTAATTAAACAGGCACTGTCAGACAAATGGAGCTGGGGGGAGGTGGAAAGAAGAGGGATGCAGAGCGAAGGAGCGGGACTGGAAGGGAGCGGGACGGTGGCGGAGAGAAGACAGAGACGGCGGGGGGGCGGGGGATGGGGGGGGGGGGGGGGAGAGAGGGCTGGGTGGGTGGGGGGAAGGAAGAGAGAGCGGGACGCGGAGCGAAGGAGAGGGTGGGGGGGAAGAGGCAGAAAGAGAACGGGGAGACAGAGGGAGTTGGGGGGGCGGGGGGTAGAAAGAGAGACAGGAGATGGAAGAGGGGAGAGACAGGGCGTGGGGAGGAGCAGGAAGGGGATTGGGCTAGGCTAGGTGCTGCCTCAATTTGAGTGTAACCTGTTTCAGTGCTGAGCTAAACTGAGCTGAGCTAAAATTAATCCCACAGGAGCATGACAGGAAGGTCGGAAAGGGTCCATACTTCTGGATTACAGCTGGTACTCATCCTGAGCTGCTCCCTCCCGGCTCCCCCACCCAACAAAGGAAGAGCTGCATGAAATGAAACAGAAACTGCACCAGTGCCAGTCTCTGGGGAGCTGGAATCTGTGCAGCCATTAACACCTGGCTTGGCTGGGAATTCTCACACACTCTGCCAGTGATGTGTTTGGGAATCGAGACTGCATTAAAATGCAGGGGGCCGCTGTGGGCAGGAGGGACTTTGGGCTGCTTTTATTACACATACTCAACAGAGTCTGCAATTCCGAACACACCACCTCTATGTACCTGCAGCTCTCCTCCGCGCACGCACATTCAAAAGCCAAAATAGCTGCATTTATATAGCAACCAGTAGCACTCAAAAGCACTGCACAGCTTAATGAAGCACATTCTACAACTTCCCCAATGCTGGTATGAGTAATGTACAGCAAGATGCCATAGAGGAACACTCTGCTTTTAGTGACATCAGTTGATCTAAACCGCAGGAAACCGGAGAGAATACTCCAGCCCACTGCCTGCCCTTCCAATATTGCCAAGATGTCAAAATGTTTTGTTTTGCAGCTCATCAGAACTTGGAGAGCTCGTAGCGATATCAAAATACTCGGCTACCGACTCGGCCAACGGGATCTTTTACAGCCGGAATAATCTCTCATCCAAATGGATCAGACTGATTCCAGGGATGAAAGGGTTGTTGTATGAGGACAGGTTGAATAGCGTGGGCTTGTACTCATTGGAGTTCAGAAGAATGAGAATCATAGAAACTCTACAGTGTGGAAGCAGGCCAATTGAACCCACCAATTGTCCACACCAACCCGCTGAACAGCATCCCACCATCACCACCCCCCGCATCCCCCAAACCCCATCCTATGCCTGTAACCCTGCATCCCCTATGGCCGATCCACCCTAACCCGCACATCCCTGGGCACTACAGGGCAATTTAGCACAGCCAATCCACCCTAATCTGCACATCCCTGGGCACTACGGGACAATTTAGGACGGCCAATCCACCCAAACCTGCATGTCATTTGACTGTGGCAGGAAACCATAGCACCCGGAGGAAACCCACACAGACACAGGGAGAATGGGCAAACTCAACACGGTCACCCGAGGGTGGAATCAAACCTGGGACCCTGGTGCTGGGAGGCAGCTGTGCTAACCACTGAGCTACCTTGGGAGAGGGGATCCGATTGAAGTATATAAAATACTAAAGGGTGATTGATAAATAAGAGGTCAAACAGGATAACCCCCCTGCGCCCGTGTGAGACAATCTCCAACAAGAGGATATTGATACAGGGTGAGAGGAGGTAGGTTCAAAACGGAGATGGGAAGGGTTGGGAATCTGTGAAACTCACAGCCACAGAGTGCAGTGGAGGCAGAATCAATCAACAGATTCAAGAAGGAAACCGATATGTTTCTGATAAAAGGCTATGGAGAGCAGGGAGGATGGGGCTGAATTGTCTGCTACAGCTCCTAACCCCTCTAGTTCGCAGAACAAAAATATTTCACTTCCCCTCCAAGCCCTCCCTCTCCACCACACAGCAGTGTCACCCGACCGCCTGCCGCCCACAAATCAGCAAAGCCTGCCGACACAGGGGCTGAGAAAAGGTCAGGCGACTCGCACTGTTGAAAATATTCATCATTTGCCTGCACCAGAGCGCAGACCGCTTGTCTGTGACACCTCAATGTGTCAGACAGGCGTCTCTACTCTGGCTCACTTCACCCAAATTAAAGTCTCTGCGACATTTCCACCTGCCACAGCAACTGACACGCTCAATGCGAACCACACCGACGTTATTAATTGCCTCATTGAGAGGCTGCCTCGAGGTGAGCCAACACGAGCGGAATATTGATTTGCTCGTCTTTGTCCTCAGCAGGGTGCCACCAGTTAACTAAGTGTTCACTTACCACAGGGGTCAGGCAGACTCGACAGGCAGGAGCAATCAACCCAAAGTTTCAAGAGATTAATCGACATTCAGTTAAATCAGGGAGGTGGGCCATGCTTTGTTTCATATACAAATTCATACAAGGGATATGGGTATAGCCGGCATTTATTGCCTGTCCCTTGAGAAGGTGGTAGCGAGCTACTTTCTTGAACCGCTGCAGTCCTTGTGCTGTAGGCAGATCAGGAAGGAACTTACAGGGTTCTGACCCAGCGACAGTGAAGGAACAGCCAACATATTCCTCAGTTGGGATGGTGAGTGGCTCGGAGGGGAACGTGCAGGGGGGTGGTGTTCCCATGTATCTCCTACACCTTCTAGATGAAAGTGGTTATGGGTTTGGAAGGTGCTGTCTGAGGATCTGTTTGGTGAATTTCTGCAGTGCATCTTGTAGATGATACACACTGCTGCTACTGAGCGTTGGTGGTGGGGGGAGTGGGATGTTTGTGGATGTAGTGCCAATCAAGTGGGAGCTGCTTTGTCCTGGATGGTGTCGAGCTTCTCGAGTGTTGCTGGGGCTGCCCCCATCCAGGGCAAGTGGGGAGTATTCCATCACACTCCTGACTTGTGCCTTGTCGATGGTGGGACAGGCTTTGGGGAGTCAGGTGGTAAGTTACTCGCTGCAGGATTTCCAACCTATGGACTGCTCGTAGACTGTGTTTATAATGGCTGTTCCAGCCGAGTTTCTAGTCAACGATAACCCAGGATGCTAATAGCGGGGGATTCATTGAATATCAAATGGCAGTAGTTAGAATGTCTTTTATTGGAGATGGTCATATTCTTGCCATACAAATGCCAGGCTGTTACTTGCCACTTGTCAGCCCAAGCCTGGATATTGTCCAGATCTTGTTGCGTTTAGAAATGGACTGCTTCAGTATCTGAGGAGTGGCAAATGGTGCTGAACTTTGTGCAATCTTTAGCGAACATCCCCACTTCTGACCTTATGGAGGGAAGGTCATTGACGAAGCAGCTGAAGATGGTTGGGCCTAGGACACTACCCTGAGGAACTCCTGCAGGGATATCCTGGAACTGAGATGGCTGATCTCCAACAATCATGACCATCTTCCAACGTGCTAGGTGTGACTCCAACCAGAGAGTTTGCCCCCTGCTACCCACTGACTCGTTTTGCTAGGGCATCTTTATGCCCTCCTTGATACTCAGTCAAACGCAGCCTTGATGTCAAGGGCTGTCACTCTCACCTCCCCTCTTGAGTTCAGCTCTTTTGTCCATTTTTGAACCGAGGCTGTAGTGAGGTCAGGAGCTGAGTGAGGCATCACTGAGCAGGTTATTGCTGAGGAAGTGTTACCTGATAGCACTATTGATGACACCTTACTGATGATCGAGCCCAGACAAAATGAAGTGGTAATTGGCTAGGTTAGATCAGAGCTGCTTCAGGTGGATGGGATATACCTGGGCAATTCTGAGTATTGGCTGGTGGACGCCAATGATGTAGTTGGATTGGAACAGCTTGGCAAGAGAGGAGGCGAGCTTTCAGCCATGTCTTTAGCACTACTGAGAGGGCACACAGCATTTGGAGTATCCAATATTCCCAGCCATTTCTTGATATCACATGGACTGAATCGAATTGGACGAAACTGGCATCGGCGATGCTGGGTACTTCTGGAGAAGACCGAGATGGATCATCCACTCATCACTTCTGGCTGAAGGTTGCAGCGAGAGCGTCAGCCTTATCTTTTGCACTGATGTGCTGGGCTCTTCCATCATTGAGGACAGGGATATTTGTGGAGCCTTCACCTCCGGTGAGTTGTTTAATCATCCACCACCATTCACGACTGGATGGGGCAGGACTGCATAGCTTAGATCTGATCGTTGGTTGTGGGATTGCTTAGCTCTGTCTATCACTTGCCGTTTGGTGTGCAAGTAGTTCCATTTGGTGGCTTCACCAGGTTGATACCTCATCTTCAGGTATGCCTGGTGCTGCTCCTGGCCCTGGCATGCCCTCCTGCACTCTCCATTGAACCAGGGTTGATCCCCTGGCTTGATGGTTGAGCGGGGGATATGACAGGCCACGAGGTTACAGATTCTGTTGCTGTTGATGGTGCCCAGTCCCTCATGCATGTCCAGTCTTGAGTTTCTAGATCTGTTCTGGATCCCACAGCGGTTACACTCAGTCAGAGGAAGTGACCATGCCGAGGTTTGTAAAAGATTCTTCGACTATTAATTTGAAGAAAAGCAGTGGAGTTGTGAATGTTCCATCGTTCAATATATTGAAGACTGATATAGACATTTTATTCCAGGACAGACTGGCCTTGTTCCCACTGGAGTTGAGGTGTGAGGAGTCAAAAGTAGGTGGTTATAAATGGCTGATAAAAGGTGGACAGGGAAAGGTGTTTCTTCTTGTGGGCAAGTCTAGAACTGGAAGACACTTAAACATTTTGGGACAGAAATGAAGAGAATTCTCCAGAGCATTATGCAATTTTGGAACTCTTTCCCTCACAAGGCAATGGGTTATAGGGTGGAGATGGATACATTCCCTTATCAAACGGGAATGGGTCAGGGTCGGGAGGGAGGGAAATGTAGAATCTGAAATACACAGAACAGCCATGACTCTTATCATTTCACCTCCCTGAACTCCACCAGCCTTCCTATACATTTTAAAACCTGCCCCCCACCCAACAGCGTCGCCCAGTTCCTCGGAAGGGTCAGTAATCCAGCTGGTGACATCTCTTTACTTGCATAGATGCTGCCTTACCTACTGTCTGGTCACATCCCTCCCCCTCTCCAACTCCTTCAGCCCATACACCCCCTTTCTATCTCTCATCTACAGCACATCCCTTCAGCCTTCACAGAGCAGAGAATATGTCAGAGATTTGATGGAGGTGTGCAAAATGGTGAATGCTTTTGATTGGGCAAATAAGGATCGACTGCAGCCAAGGGACAATAACCAGAGGGACACAGATTGGAGGTGTCTGGGGGGAAAAAAAGGAAACTTGGAGGGGAGGGAGCATGAGGATGTTTTGGAGCTGCTAGTTGTAATCTGTAGTGTGCTGTGTGAACAGGTAGTAGAAGTAGGTTCAACAGCAACTTTGAAGTGGGGGTAATACTCAAAGGGGAAACTTTACAGGGTGACAAGGAAAGGGCAGGGGGCGGTGACAATAATGGAATAGCTGTGCCCAAGGCCCAGAAGAGAGGGGCATGGGAAAGCAAGAGATGACAAAGAGAGAGATTTGCACAAACAGCCCACAGTTCATACATTTCCTCCGCCTGAATAACTGTGTGTTCCAGAGACTGACAGCTTGCACCAGTCCCAGTGAGATCACAGGTAAAGAAAATATCTCCACGTTAACATGACCACCCAATCTCCTTCACTGTTCTCTTGTGAATGAAACACATCAGTCTCCCAAACGCCAAGTCAACAATCCTGTCAGTTTTACACTGCCTCAGTGGCAAGAGACTGCTGCCCATCCTCCACCCACACCATATGAATAAAGGCAGGCACCCTGCTAAATCGAGTGGAGGAACTGTAGGGGCACAAGTGAAATGTGACTCCCCTATCTCAGGCAGGAAACAAACACAGCTTCCTGTTGGGTCTCCCACCTTCAATCTCTCTTTATTACAACCCGACATCAAGCTGCATCTACATGGCACCTTGTAGGTGCCTCACAACAGCATTATCACTCAGGATCTGACCCTGAGCCACATCAGGTGACACAAGCTTGGTCACAGAGGCTGCTTGTAAGAAAAGGAATGAGAGGTTGAGAGGGGGAACTCCAGAGCTTAGGATCCAAGCAGATGGAAGATCAGCCGCCAACGGCAGAGGGACAGAAGCTGGGTGGACACAGATGACAGAAGATGCTAAACAGACACAACCCATCTTTTCACAGACAGTCCCCAAATTTGTGATAACAAGGTGTAGAGCTGGATGAACACAGCAGGCCAAGCAGCATCAGAGGAGCAGGAAAGCTGACGTTTTGAGTCTGGACCCGAAACGTCAGCTTTCCTGCTCGGCCTGCTGTGTTCATCTAGTTCCACATCTTGCTATCTCAGATTCTCCAACATCAGCAGTTCCCACTATCCCCAAATTTGTTTTGTTTTTTTGAGGGTACCACAAACAGCTGGAAATCTGAAGCAAAAACAGAGGATTCAGAAAAACACCAGCACCGTTTCGGTCGCCACGGACACGTCCCGAGCAGCAGAGTGTTTCCAGTCTGGGGACTTTGGTGGCGACGGGGGTTCGCTGGATAGAGAGCGAGCGGGTCGCTGGGTACACAGGATCTCCATCAATTGAGTGATCTGCTGGACGGGAGGCAAGGCGAGGCCGTTGTCTCGTCCAAACTGGGGCAATGCAGCGCTCCCTTGGGACTGCATGTGGCTCAGCCCACAGCTCCTCATGGAAGAGCATGATGGACTGCTGCTACTCCCAGCCACTGTGGCGCTCACCGAAGTTATTTCAGTTCATCAATAAAAAAAAAAAAGGGGGAAGGAGGGGAGACTTACTCAAGATGTTGAGGACTGAATCCTTACGAAACATAACCAGGTTCCCCATCATTATGTGACACACCAACTCCTGCAGCTGAAACACAAATGAGAGACATTCTCAATGTCATTAGGAGTTCCACACCTCCAGGTCACTCCCAAATCCCTCAACTACTAGGAAGAGACCCACAAGATCTGTCATTCCTTTATCACTCATACTTCCCAGAAGCACAACGCCTCTTGACCCAATTATCCTTCCTGGTCATACAGCAGCAACAGACGAGCAGGCCCCTCAATACTGCCCGTCATTCAATCTATGGCTGAAACAGAGACAGAGAGAGAATGCTGGAGAAACTCAGCAGGTCTGGCTGCAGCTGTGGAGAGAGAATCAGAGTTAACATTTCAAATGCAGCGCGACTCTTCTGTTTGTTTCAGAGCTCCAGCATCCGTAGTAGTTTGCTTTAATTAGAGCAATGGCTGATCTGTACCCCAACCCGGGTTTTTGATCAGAAGTAGGCCATTCAGCCTATCGAGTCTGCTCTGCCATTCATCGATATCACAGCTGTTCTGAGCATCCCCGACTCTGCGTTCCTGCCTTTTCCCCACAACCTATGGTTCCCTTCCTGAATAAAATAAATCTCAGCCTTCACTATCCTTACTGAGCCAGCCTTAACAACCTGCGCCTGCGCATAAAGTGCTTTCAGATTACCCCCCAGAAGGGCCTTGCTCGGATTTCTAGGCTATGCGAATTAGATCACTGCTTTGTCTACAGCAAACAATTTAAACACCCCAACGGCTTCAGCACATCCCACTATCGATTCCAGACATATGAAAAGAACCACAGAACCCCTACAGTGTGGAAACAGGCCCTTCAGCCCAACAACTCCACACTGACCCTGAGAGAATCCCATCCACCTAATCTACACATCCCTGAACACTGTGGGCAATTTAGCAAGGCCTATTCACCCTAACCTGCACATCTTTGGATTGTGGGGGGAAACTGGAGCACCCGGAGGAAAGCCACGCAGACACAGGGAGAATGTGCAAACTCCACACAGACAGTCACCCAAGGCTGGAATTGAACCAGAGTCCCTGGCGCTGTGAGGCAGCAGTGCTAACCACTGAGCCACAAATTGCACACATGTATATTCTTGGTACCAACTGAGCAACACAGCCCACCATGTCAACTCCCACCCCCCTGCTTTTGCTGGTGCTGGAGAGTTTCAGTGATGGAGAGATTGGACTGTCTACCTTGACATGGAGCAGACCGAGGGAGTGGGGGAACACAGTTGAGATGTATCAAATTATGAGGGGTAATAGCAGAATAGACACCAAGAAACATTCCCCCCTTTGGTGGAGGGGCGGATTAATGGCCTGACGCACAGATTTATGGTAAGGGCCAGGAGGTTGAGAGGGGAGTCAAAATCTTTTCACCCGGAGGGTGATGGAAATCTGGAATTCACTGCCTGTAAGTGTGGCAGAGGAAAAACCCTCGTTTAACGGAAGGAGTATTGCGATGTGCACTTGTGATGCCGAGGCTATGGGCCAAGGGCTTGGAAAATGGGATTGGAGTCATTGGGTGGCTGTTTTTGATCAGTGCAGAATCGATGGACCAAAGAGGCTTTTCCTCTGTAGACCAGTCTGACTCTTCTCTGAATGGTGCAGAAAGATTGTCTATTTGACAGGGTCTAAAGACGGTACAGTGGCTCAGTGGTTAGCACTACTGCCTCACAGCACCAGGGACCTGGGTTCGATTCCACCCTCTGTGCACACTGCACAGACAGTTGCCCTTCTCCCCGTGTCTGCGTGGGTTTCCTCCCACAGTCCAAAGGTGTGCAGCTTAGGGCGGATTGGCCATGGGAAATTGTCTCAGTGTCCAGCAATTTGCAGTCTGGGTGGGTTAGCCATGAGAAATGCAGGATTACAGGGATAGGTGAGGGGTTGTGTCTGGGTGGGATACTCCTCAGAGGGCTGGTGTGGGCTCGATAGGCCAAATGGCCTGCTTCCACACTGTAGGGATTCTATAACGTGGCACCTGTAGTGAGAGACTGCAATTCTGAGCTGTGGTCAGTGGACTTGAGGCACGGGAAAGATGTCTCCTCAGGGAAGCAGCAAGGTCAACATGTTTCTCCTGTGCTCCTTCACCTCTACTTTACAATTCCTTACATTTCACGAGTACTGTTATCAAAACAGCAGCTCCAGTTAGGGCCCTGCTGACAGACATCACACCAGATTGAAGGTCTCAGGTTAAGATGCGGGGTAAGTCAGTTAGGACTGAGAATGAGGAAGAATGTCTTCACCCGGAGAATGGGGAGCCTGAAGAATTCTCTGCCACAGTAGTAGTCAGGGCCAAAACAGAATGTTTTCAAGGACGAGTTAGATACAGTTCTTAAGGAATTAAAAGGAGAAAGTGGGAACAGGGGACTGAGTTAGATAGTCAGTCATGATTACACTGCATGGCAGTGCAGGCTCGAAGGGCTGAATGGCCGATGCCTGCTCTATGTTTCAGATATACACAGAGTTTAAGACAGTGACTCTCACCGTCCACAGCTCCATCCAAAACAGTTCTGTTCGCCAGTGACTGGGCCAACAGGACTAGTGACAGGTTCCCGTGGGAGAGCAGAGAAAGTTACTGCTGCTGATAGTGACCTCTCTTTCACCTTCAAGTCAGTCCCTTCAATAAGACGGCCCATATTCAGTAGTAAGCTTCACTATAGTGGCACATTAAAATCCTTTACCGTGACTGTTTCATGGTTGTTCTGAAAGGATGGAAAAGGGAGGCAGTGTTTTGAATTTGCAGAGGAACACAGGCAGGCTTGCAAGCAGATTTCGAACCGCTCAGTCGAATGCGTCATCGAGTCATAGACTGTCGCTACACAAAGTGGCCTTTGGACTGTAGAGTCTGTGTTGGTCATCAACAACTTATCAATTCTAATGCCATTTTCCAGCACATGGCCCACTGTCTTTACGCTACAGTGTTTTAAATGATTATCCAAACGCTTAAATGTTGTGACGGCTCTCGGCCTTTAAGGCAGTGAGTTTGAGATACCTACCCCTTTCTGGGTGAAAATACACCTCCTCAAATCCTCTCAGAACCTCCTTCCCTTTTATCCTAAATCCATGTCCCCTGTTTCCTGACCCCTCCAAAGTTAAAACCTTCCCCCCATTTATGCCCCTCAGAACTCTGTACCCCTCAATCAATCCCTTGGCCTTCTCTTCTAAGGCAAACAACCCCAGACTTATCTAGCCTCCCTTCATTCAGTGACGGGGGGTGGGGGGCGGCTGCGTGCAGCATGGTGGCTCAGTGGTTATCATTGCAGCGTCAACACCAGGGTCCCATGTTTGAATCCAGCCTTGGTCGGAGTGGAGTTTGCACATTCTCCCAGTGTCTGCATAGGTTTCCTCCCACAGTGCAAAGGTGTGCGGATCAGGTGGATTGGCCATGCTAAACTGCCCATAGTGTCCAGGAATGTGCAGGCTAAGTGGGTTAGCCATGGGAAATGCAGGGTTGCAGGGATAGGGTAGGGGGGTTGGGTCTGGGTGGGCTGCTCTTCGGAGCGTCAGTGGACATGATGGGCTGAATGGCCTGCTTCCACACCTGTAGGGATTGTACGATGAGGATTGTGTACAATAACTCCAAATGGCAGACTCTAAACTAAGGTCTGATACGATTTCATCACAAGCCAATTCTATTCTGCCAGAAATGACATGGGATATTCTACAAAAAAAAAAATCAAAGTAGGGTTAAAATGTGGTGTGAAAGTGGTCCACAGCTAAGCCTACCTGCACATTAAAGGACTGAACCTTTCTATGGGAATACGAGGCTGCTTAACCATCAAGACTTTTGTCATTCAATTATACTAATGATTCATGAAAGAACTCCACAATTCTCTCCCTTACCGAAGCTGTCAACTTGCCCCGGGCACCTGTTCTCTGCATTTATAAAACTCCAGGCTATTTGGCAAAGGAAGGCCTTGCAGTTGGTCCTGGCTGATGTCAGCAGGTGCAGGCGTTACTGGGGTAAGTGACTGAGATGCTGGCATCCAGACCACACACCAGAGACAAGTCAAAGACCAAGGCTAGCTCTCTCCCACAGCAGCATCGTCCACCAAGGGAGCTCCGCAACTCCAAAAGGTAGCTACAACAGACACCACGTCAGCCACTGCCAAAATCCTAATGCACGTGAAAAGCCACAGGCTCCTACACCAATAGGGGAGCTACACAGGCAAATGCACCTCGTGTATCTCCACTTAAACATGTGAACAGAAACACTTAAAAAGCAAAAGAGAGAGAGACACACACACACACCCTTACCTTTTACTTTTTTTTTTAAGTCAACCTACTCAGATGTGCTATGACATAGCTCTGGAAGAGATGGGACTTGAACCTGGGTCTCCTGGCCGAAAGGAAGGGACTCTACCATTGTGCTACATGCCTTACATCTTACAAGCATAGGATGAAATGTACGAGGGTAAAGGTCCTAGTGCATATCGTGCAAATAACACCAGGACCAATGACAGTGTTTATCACTCACTAGTCACCAGGAATGTAACCAGTTACATCAGGATTCCCAATGGGTCACAATGGTTGGTTAGAAACTGGGACAACACCAGGACTAGAGCAAGTGATGGACATCTGTAAAACAGCTGGGAACAATAAGGGCTTTAACAGGGAGGGTGGGAATGGGGTACCATACAGGCAGGTGATTGTGATGCTAGGTTGGGCATGTGTCACAAGGGAAGTCACATTTGGGGTTATGAGATTGGGATGGGGAGATTTTGGGGGTTGGGTGGCATACAGGATTGGGGAATGGGGCTGAGATGGTGGTTTGGATACAGAACAATGGGCAAAGAGAAGGGGATTGGGAAAAACTGAGGAGTTCTTTCGAAGAGTGGGGACAGACACAAGGTGCCTGACAGCTTTGAGCTGTAAGAGTTGAGCGCTGGGTCAGGGTTATGGGATGGGATTGGAAGGGAATGGGTACAGGACGCAATAACATGGCGAATGGAGCATGGGATTGGGACAAAATATCACTGGATTGGGAATAAAAGGGATCAGAAGAGGGCTTGGGCCAGTGAATAATCGGGGAGCTCATTCAAAAAGGTTGACATTGTTATAAGGGGCTGAATAGCCCCCTGTGGTGTGTGAATAAACACGCACATCAGCTGAGATACATCCAGCTTCTCCCGTTTTTAAAACGGGAATGTCATTGAGTGCCACTCTGCTCAGTAGAACTGCGGTCTTTGGAAGTGGTATGGACGGTTCTGGAACAATTATCAGGCATTTCCAGGAAATAGGAGCAGGCTGTCAGAGATATTATCTTCCCTCTGCCCTCACCGACAATCAAGCAGCTTATTAAAAACTGTAAATCAGAGCATGATACCCTGGCTAATTTCAACACTGCACTCATGTTTACTGAGCTCAGTTTCCATGGTAATTGCATTTAACCCCCTCAGTGCCTCAGCACTAAAAGGAATGTGGAAAGGCAGGAGCCAGAGACAAACAGAAACAGGACATGATGAGAACAGAACACAATGTCACCAAAGAGCCTCACAGCTGAGGAGCAACCTTCTCGACTACAGTCGCTCCAAGAAAGGAGGAAATGCAGCAGCCGTGTAAACAGGGCAAGATCCAAACTCAGCCACATGAAAATGGCAGAGGATTACAGCTACTAACCCAGATATTAACCAATATACCAGGAAGTGCGCAAATGCTCTTCAGAACAGTGCGTGGGAACATTACTTACAATTTGAAAGGGCACAAAGGTCTCAGTTAAAAGTCCCACAGACATGCAAAAACACAGGGTACGGTACTGGTGGGGGACAGGTCTGTCACCGTATAACACTGAGGTACAGTACCGGTGGGGGACAGGTCCGTCACCGTATAACACTGAGGTACAGTACCGGTGGGGGACAGGTC